TTCCATACCTCTTGACAGGATATCTGCAGGATTTTGGTCTGAAATCAGATGACCCCACTGTTGAATCTATGTGTATTCCTGGATTGTAGCCACTCGGTTCTGAACAAAAGTCTTTAAGTCAATTGAGTCTTTTGTATCCATGCCAACACAATCACAGAATCTGACCGTAAATAGATTGTAGACTCTATTTTGATAGCTGTAAGAACTCTCTTTACTAACTTGGATAAAAGCACTGCCACGGAAAGTTCAAGTTTAGGTATTGTAAGGCTTTTGATTGGTGCAACCCTGGACTTGCTTGTAATTAGCCTTATCATTGTTTCGCCAGATAAATTCGTAGATTTAAGATAAATTTGCAGCTCCATAACAACGTTCTGAAGCATCAGAAAAACCATGGATCTCAATCCTAATTGATTTCGCAATAACTATTAGTCTCTCAATCTTAATATAGTTCACATTTTCCAGTTTACACAAAAACTGATGCCATTCCTCAAATTCTGCTGTTGGTAGAGGATCTGATCAGTCTATATTCAATCTCAACAGTCTTTGCATGAAGATTTTGGCTTTAGCAACCACTGGTCCAATTAGTCCCAATGGGTCAAATAAACGGGCAATGGTGGACAAAACACTTCTCTTAGTATAAGAAATGTCTAATTTCACTTGAACTCTGAAGGCAAAACAGTCTTCCATTGGAATCCAAATCACTCCCAACGTTTTGATCTCACTGGAATTTGAAAAGTTATAATTTTCACCAACACTAGATGACAGTTCACTACGATTGCTGCACCACTTGTGGAGTTCCATTCCAGCCTCTTCCATAATCGAAATAGGTTGCCATTTCAACTCTTTTGCCTCTTCTAAGGTTTCTGCTCCATTTACTACATCGTCCATATACATATTGTTACGAAGTACAGGTGATGCGATCGGATAACGATTTTTTTCATCAATCAATAATTGTCTCAATGTTCATGTAGCAAGAAAAGGTGCACTCGCAGTACCATACGTCACTGTAACCAGTTTGTAAGTCTTTGGAGGCTTATTTGGCTCATTATTCCACAATATTCGAAGCAGCTTTTGTTGATCTTGATGTATGAGAATCATTCTGTACATCATTTTTACATCCACGGTAAACGCAAAGCAAACACATATTTTCGGAATCCAATCATCATAGCATAAAGGTCCTCTTGTAACAATCCTCCATTGTACTGTATAGAGTTTAGTGAAGTACCGTTATTTGTAACATTAGAACAGTTAAACACAACTCTGAGTTTTGTATTTGTTTTCTCAAGTCTCAGAATACCGTGGTGTGTAGCGTAATAAGCTACATCAGGCTCTCTTTCCTCATTCACTTCTTTCATATGTCCAAGCTTAAGATATTCTGCTAAAAATTCGTTGTAAAGTTTCAAATATTCATGGTCCTTAGACAGCCGCATATTTAAAGAATTTAATCTCTTGAGAGCAATTTCCCTAGATTTACCAAGCACGAGGGATCCTCTTTAAGGGGCATCGTCACTACGTTCCTGCCTTCATCATTTCTGAAATGAGTATCTGCCTAGTGTTTCTCACAAATTAAATTTTCTTTATTTTTCGTTACTGTTTCACCTACACTCTCTATTTTCCAGAATTTTTCTAATATTTGGTTTAAGTCCTCATCTTGAATTAAACCGCAGTGAATCTTTGCTTCATTTACTGAATCTAAATTTCCAGTTATTATGTACCGAAATACACTATTAACCAAAAGCAATTGCGAATTTTTAATTTTAATTCTTTCTGGTTTTAATAACTCATAAAATATATTTTCCCCCAATAACATAAGAACATTAAAGGTATCATCAGCCAAATCCATGAAATTTGAAAAATCAACATTTATTTATAAAGTTTTATTTGGAATAAATCTGATATTTTTTTTACCATTAGTATATCTAATTCTCTTTCACATGATTTGTTTTTACTCGTTACACATGATTCGTTTAACACACCCACTAACCATCATAGAATTATCATTCAAACAGGAAATTAATGTGTTTATTTTTTTACTCTTTAGTTGTAATTTATTCGCACACTCATTTGAAATAAGGCAGGTTTCACTGCCAGAATCCAGTAACGCTCTACATGTCTGCCATTCTGAATATTTATTCTTTACGAGAATTAATGCAGTTCATAATAAACATCTTTTAACTTTGTTTTGAGAAAAAGCAGTTGCCACAATCTGCACATTTTCATTTGGCGCCTGATCGAAAGCCGAATCATTATTTAATGAGGTTTGCGGTTTTTGATCAACATTTGAAGCTAAAGAATTATATTTCATTTCTCTGGGAAAGTGTAAAGATTTATGGTGAGGCCTTGAACAAAAACAATTTCTTGCCTTACACTGTTTAACGCTGCACTCAGGGGATAAGCATTTAAAACACACATTTTTATTTTTTCCACTTCAATTCTCTCATGTACAGATAACTTTAAATAATCTGGGCACTTAAATAATGGATGGGTTTGACTACATAAAATACACTTTGAATCTTTTACATCAGAAAAAACACTTTTGAAAAGGATTCATTATTATTACTCTTAGGATTATATTTATTCCGTTGAAAAGAGTTACTTTCACTTTCGAGGCGGGACTTCCCCCCTTGCTATGATAAATATAGGTCAGCCTCACTTGCTAACTTTTGTGGTTCAAACCAACTATCCGCTTGTTTTATATTTATGTGTGCAGCTGTTTCTCGATCTAGAGTTGAAAATAATTTATCGGAAACTATCAATTTCTTCAAGGTCTCAAAATCATTCACTTTTCTTAACTTTAAATAATACTCAAAATTGGTTGTTAAGCGAGATGCAAATTGCACATTAGACTCATTTAAGCGTTGAGCTTTTCCAAAATTATTTAGGCACATTTGAGGGGATAGACTTTAGTTAGTTAGACTTAGAGGTTGGGCAGCTCTGACGAGCAGGGCACATCGACCAGAGGTCTATTGTACCCAAACCCTAAAATCATGATTAGCATAAAAGCCCTATGGCTGAAATAAAATTCAGCAAGCACCTTACAGGAACATCTTGCAGTTCCCAGGCATTGACGATATGCTGCCCTAAATGCTCAAATCTTTGAGCAGAATAGACCTCACAATCACAGAGTATGTGTCGTGATGTCTCTTCTTCTAGATGACATCCCCGACAAAGAGAATTGGATTCTATTCCCATAATGTTTAGGTGTCTCCTGAGGATACAGTGGCCAGTAAGAAGACCTATGATCTTCCTTATACTGTTTCTATTAAGCTTTAAGAGCTCCTTTTGACGTACACTGGGACAGTCTTGATTCAGCTCCTTAGCTTGTCTCTGACCGTCAGCAGCGATCATGGGCGATCTTGCCGTAGAGCTTGAATATGGTTGCCCTAAATGAGGAGGGAGAAATTCCCAGCGCAGGTTCAGGGCCCCAGAAAATTGCATTAGAGCCAGCCCGTGCTGCTTCGTCAGCTAGCTCATTTCCACCGATACCCATATGTCCTGGTACCCAATGCAGGGATACCTTGTTATGAGCGGACAGGTCACAGAGGACCGAGAAGCATTCCCACACTAACAAAGAGTTTGAGGGGATGGTTCGAATTCTATTAACAGGATTGATTTAATTGTTTGGTAGTTCGAAATATCCTTATCACTTAGGTATATTATTATATTAGATGCTCTTTCTCCCAATAAATTTAACAGTATCCCAGCTTTATGAATTTCAGGCACTTGTTTACTATTAAATGCTCTCTCCAACGACGCAAAGAAAAAACTCCACTCTTCGGGTCGCGTTGGTAGTTTTACTGTTCAAGTTCGAAAACTTATTATTAATTGATCTATAGATTATGGATTTGACTCACTTACACTAACTTCGGTTTTATTTTCAGCTCTGAACTTAGCGAGTTCCAGTTCATTTTTAGATCTCACTATTTTAATTTTTTCAATCTCAATTAATCTTTGTTCTTCTAACTTACGATTTTCGATTACGGAATTTGTTAATTTTTTTCACAAAATCTGGATTATTTTTGAAGATATCACTTTTCTCAATAGAATTTATTAAATCAAATCTTCTTTTTTAGCACTTTGAAGCATCTTTTTAGCTTAACACAAAAACACTCTTATTTAGGGAAACAATTAATTCACAATGAAAACAATAAGGACAATATTAACTCTCAAAGTAATTTTCACTCTAACTCAATGTAATTGAAATTTATCTAAATTCAAAAATTATTTATAATTATCCAAAACAAACAAACAAAAAAATATTGCTCTCACCCTTCGGCTAGTTGAAAATGCTGTCAACAAGACCATGAACTAATTTCTCGAATTAGTAATCTTTATTAATCACGAAACGAGATATCCCCTTGTTCACAAATAATTATATGAATTTCACGACATTTTCCACAGGTAGCATAATCGAGCTCCAGCGCTGTTGGACCAATGTTTGGGCCTGCTGGGTTTGAAATCACTTCACACAAAAAAACACAGCAAAAAGACTAAATAAAACACTAATTTATTATCACTTCTCATGGTGTTCACCGACACGCACACAACAATGATCTCTCAGAGCTCTTCAAGGAACATATTTCCACATCTCGTATAGATAGCGCTTTAACTCATTGTTTTAACATTTTCATTTATTTTATTTTTTGGCAGTGAGCAACAATGTTATTTTACATTGTCCACTGGAATCTATGGATATTTTAACTGATGGTACTCATATTTTTGAATTGTAATTATTCAAAATAAGTTTAATATTTCATTCCTATTTTATTTCAAAATATTATGCAAGTTGTTTTGCTTAATAGTGATTTATTGTATCTCCTGAGTTGTACATAATTTTAACAGGAAAGAAATATTAATTTAGCTTTTAAAAACTAGTATGAATACCAAAACATAATATGATGTGTGAAATTAAACTGCATTCATTTAAATTAATTGTTATTATAATAGTTTGAGAATATTCTGTAATCTTAATTTTATTAAAAAAAAATATTTGAATGTAGGAGTGTTTGCTGGCTTTGGATTAAGTGGTGTCATTCCTGCTGTGCACTATCTAATTGTTAAAGGTTTCTTCCAAGCGGTATATCATGCTTCCTTTGGATGGTTGTGTCTGATGGGATCACTCTATCTTCTTGGTGCTGCTTTTTATGCATTAAGAGTTCCTGAGCGCTTTTTTCCTGGAAAATGTGACATTTGGGTTAGTATCATTCCTTTAAATTATTAAAATGATGATAAACCTCAATAATAAGGTTGACAAAAAAAATCTAAGTATATCTTAAATCTTTTAGCTGTAATGCGGAAAAGTTGCTAAGTACAATCATTACAAAAATGTGAAATCTGACACATTCTTTTGCCTTAATCTGCCAAGAGTTGTGAAAACTAGACTAAAAATTCTTATAATTCAAAAGAATAATTATTTTTAAAGAAAAATATTTTCTTCCACTATATTGTCTCTAATTTATTAATTTCATGTTGTTCTCATCCCCATGACCAGCAGAGCTAGATCAGGTCCATGAGCTCGTTCACTCTAGGAAAGTTTAGTACCAGCAGGGGAGTCCTGGGCAGCAAAACACTTAGTGCACATTTCGAAGTGTTTATTACCATCGTTATAAGTCATTGGTGACAGATGTCCACTGAGGAAACCAGTAATGGCAGTTTGTTCTCATCTATTGCTGCCCCGAGCCAAGGAGCCCCCTGGGCACCTACTCTGATACCATGTGTGTACCGGCGGGACCGCCCAAATGGCCATATTCTTTGCCTTACATTTAGAAAAATGCTCCAAGTAAGTAAGAGGAGCGACAGTCGTAATCGCCTCTTCAGCACCTGCTTTGGCCAAACTGTCAGCAATCTCATTTCCAGCTATATCAACATGTGACGGAATCCACTGAAAGTGAATCCGATGAGAAAGGGAAAGATGTTTTAGTTTCCTGAGAATGTCAGCACCAACACTGTCCCTGACATTATGCCATTCGGCCAGGTGCTGGATAGCACTTTTACGATCTGAAAAGATCCAGATATCAATAAACTGCGAAAGCGACATGGAGTCCAGACCCTCAAGAATTGCAATACGTTCGCTTCGGAATACTGAGCAGAAGTCCGGATTTCTTCTCTTGAATTAGTTTTAAGGTAACCCTCTAGGCGTCTCCCCTCTCTCTAAGTTTCTTACTTCAAGCGGCAGGCACATTTAGAAAGATGCTACCTAAAATGTCGAGGGTCGCACAAAAGGTTTGCTTTCTCCCTTCTGTTTCAATTTGTGGTTAAAAGGGGTGATTATCGGTCTAGGTGGTCAAGGAGGGTCAAGGCAGTTTGATGGATGAATGTGATTCACTTTTCTGAAAGTGATTGTTGAACTGTATACAATCTTACATTTTTCTCTGAAATATCAAGCAATTCTTTCGTTCTGATAAGATAATTACTTTCAGGTTATTTTACATTCCTTCTTGTCCTTTGCTTTTTGACAATGATATAGTTTAAATATAACACCAAATGGGTTTTACGAATGTTCCCTCAGATGGTGCTGAATAGATTCTTGTGATTAATAATTTTTCCTTCCTGTTTCCTGTGATTTATTTTTCTTCCCAGATACATTTGCAACTACCTTCTAAGTTTTTTACTTTAAAAAATGTGTATATATTTTAAATCGCCTCATTTTCGAATTAAAGTACAAGTTCGTTGATATACATGTTAGTAATAAGTCATATTTATCTTTTAAGTACATTAATGATAATTTTAAATTAATTAATGAGCATAGTAAAACAAAAAGCATTTGCTGAACGCTACTGTTCTAAAGATGGAATATTGTTAAAAAGGTACTTAAAACGTTTCAATGTACGTTAAAACTTTTTGAACAGTGCTCATACTGAATTTCAAGTTATTTGGATATAATTCATCTTTTAAACATTTGAGTAAAAATCCATTCGCTGCTCTTTTGATAATTTATACAAAAGCCTAAAAATATAAATTTCTATTTACACTACTTAAGCAAAACTGAATTTTCTATTATAAAATTTCTTATTTTATTTTACAGGATAAAATCAATAAGGCTGAAAATAATTCGAAATCTTATGAAATTTAACATACCAAGAATAAATATCAGTACAAGAATCGTTACGAGAATATTATTTCACAACTCAATATAATGATTCTTTGTAGTTTTGTCTATTGCTGTTAAATTCAGAGTAGTGATTTTTACAATATAGATCATGGAATGATATACACAGTATGTGACCCAAAATCCGGCACTCACGGGACCAACGAAATTCCGTATTTCGGAATTTTCCGAATTTTGGATCTCTTTCGGAAATTCCAATATGGCGCCCATGTATTACGATAATTCAATTATGCTGTTAATTTCAGAAAAACCCATAAATTTAACTAAGTTTCAATTGTAAATTATGATGGGGTGAATTTAAAACTGTCCCATCTTTAGAAATTTCATTAATTAAAATAATAATCTATATGATATAATCAAGAAGAAATAATCCGAAGAAATAATTCAAGATGAAATAATCCGAATCTTCCGAAAAAGAAATAATCTTCAGTGCAAGATCATTGTTCTCGTTTTTTCTTTTACATAACATTTTGTTTTAACAAAAGAAGCTCACCTCGCTTAAAAATAAATAAAAAAAGCTAACAAGGAACTACAAAAAGAGTAACAATTAATGCTAAAAAACTAACAATGAATAACTACAAAAAAGAAGCAAACAACAAAAAAAACAAGTAACAGAAAAAAGCAACGGTTAATAACTAATAAAAAGATAAATAAATCGAGTTTAAAAAAAAGCAGCAAAAGGGATAGAATTCATTTTGTACACCACCTGAGAAAGAAGTTTCAATGTCAAAGGAGTGTGGCTAATTTATGGTCAAACAGGAGAGGAAAATGTGGGAACAAACCAGTAAAGCACTTGCACAGCTGTCAAGATTGATTGATCAGTTTCTCCCAACTTGCATTTCTTTATTTTATTCATTAGAAATGCAGATGTTTTTACTTTTCAATTTCACTTTATTTTAAACTGCTTTTGGAATAGATGGTTTGTTTGACACAGATTTATTATTTTTTTTCTTCATGTTTTTATTTTTAAAAGAGTTACTTAATGGTTACTTACTTCAGGAGAAAAAAAATTCCAAATAAAAAGAGAATATGACTGATTTTTTTTTCTCTTATCAATAAAAATTTCTTAAAAAAAAAACAAAAAATAATTAGGTCGGATTAAGTGACGAATTTCGGGTCCTGCCGGATTAGGGGTCCCATACTGTATTTGGAAAAAATATCAAGTGGTAGTAACAGAATTTAAATATACGAAAATAAACATATTTTTACAAAAATTTTGGTAGTATTGATTTAAAATATTTAATATTGAACATTTTTTTTTAAAATTATAATCATTGCACCATGTTGGTTCACAGTATCGGCATTTGTAAAAAAATGGTGTCTCATAAACACAATGGTAAATAACAAACAACAATAATTTTTTTCGATCTATAGAATATAGTTCGTGAAAAATTGGAAAAATTTGTTAAAAGGACTTTATCACTTTCTCTCCCTATCTGTTAGATACAAAACGTTGTTCTGCTTTTATTTTTCCTCGAAACAAACTGACAAGAATTAGAACTAATCATTATGACATAAAAATACTTTGACATAAGAAAAAGTACTACGATTATGCACACCTTTTGTATGCAATAAAATAACATCGAAAATACTTTTTAAAAAAATAAAATTTTTCAAAATTGGAAATAGTATATTAAATAAATATAGGATATTTTTTTAGGTTTTTTTCTTTATAGTGCGCAGCTTAGAGTCTAGATTACATTTGCATCATAGTAAAGGCTTGTTTATCTCTTTGTGTACCCATTTAAATGAAACTTCTGAAAACTATTTTAATAACTTAGCAAAAACATCATGTAATCATCTACTTTAGATTTCAGACAATCAATCGATGCATATTCTAGTACCGTTTGAATAGAACAACTTTAAAATTCTTGAAATATTAGGGGGGTCTGAAAGTAATGTCGTTTCCGTGTACTTGACATTTGTTACCAAGATTCTATTTTTAATCAAAAATGTATTCGCCCTCGTTATTAACAACCTATAATTCCGAATCATAAAAAAAATTGATTTTTAAGACTATCGAATATTAAATGCGCCGAAGCGTCATTACTTTCATACATCATTTCCCTAAATACTTACTAACATTATAATTACTACACAACTAGAGTTTACAGCCTTGAGTTTACACAGACTTTTACTTGGATTTCGAATGATATGATAGCAGTAAAAATTATCCTTTGAATAAAATTAATGATGAATTTAATTAAAAATAAAACATCTTTTTGAAAGAAAAAAAATCTTGTTTGCAAGTGTTCCATTAACTGAAATATATAAAATGTGCAATGATTTTAACATTTTATTTTAGTTACAGGAATTATAACAACGATTACTTAAATATTTTATATATAATCAGTTATACTTTAAAAAAATCATTTTCTTTAAAATGTATATCGTAATTTGAGTGGCATAAAATATTTACAATTATTTGTTTGGTTTGAAAAAAATATTTGGTTCTTAAAACTCACTTAGTTATTTGGCGGTTTAATAACTTGTAAAGTTTTTTATGTAATTTATTAAAGAAATTTGAATTTATTAAACTTATTTGTCATTACTGAAACATGCTGCATTTATGTATTCACATGTATGAGAAATGTATTTACTAACGAAATGAATTTCAATTTCTTCTCTATCCATGAAAATGGTTTAATATCGTTAAACTAAAGTACAAATAAGACTAGTGTTTTGAGTGATGGGATTTTTAGAAAAATATCGAGAAAGTCCTTAACATTACAGAAAGAGGAGATAGTTTTTTTAGAGTTAACTTCAATTGCCAGATAAAAAAATTTTTAACTTTTTTGTAAACAAAATAATACTTTATAAAAAACAATTAACTAATTTAATAAATTAGTTAAATAATGTGGAAAATTAGTAATATTAAAAATTCATTAATTAGTTCATTAAATATTTCATTAGTATTTAGGCACGAAATAATTTGCTACTATTAACACTAAACTGAAAATGCTTTTTCGAAAATTATTTGAAATTTAAAAGTACGAAACAATTTAAATTATTCAAAAATTATATATAATAAATTCAGCAATAAATATTTTTAAAAAATTCTATATTTCAAAAATGTGGGAGAAAATAAAAGCAATCTGTTTATTAAAGGTAAACTTTTGATTTGGTTGTGTTCAAACATCAAAGAGAACGCAAACTATTCACATCTATTTGAACAGAAATACTCTAGCTCAGTGAGTGATTTACGATGACAGCTTATACGCCTCTCAATTTGTGAGCAGTAGGAGGTAGAGGGAGAAGGAAATATTCTGCTTGAGAAAAACTCTGGTTCGCCGCTCAAGGTGAACCCAAAAATGCTCAGGCAAGCCGCTTTTAGTATAGAAGCATGCCCGAGATATGCCAGGCTTGACGTCAGAAGGGTTAAGTAAAGCATTCCATCAACAACCCATTGTGAACCAAAAAAGTTATAGTGGTTAAAGCTCCACAATTACGTGGCAATGCTGACCATCATTGTGCTTTTACTGCCAAGGCAAGCTGGTACCTATCGATCTGAAGCTGCGTTTGCTTTAAACCAGGGTTTGTGATTTTTTTTTTAAAAAATCAAAAAAATCAGATTTTTCTTATTTAAATCGGATTTTTTTTATTTTAATCAGATTTTTTTTTTTTTATTCAAACACATTGTAAGAACTTTAATTTATGATTAAAAATACTTTATAAATGTTTAATCAAAATTAAATTAATATTAAGACAATATTATTAACAATATTATAGAAGCTCTAACTTACTAATATAATTTTTCCTTATAATACATAGCTTTGAATGCGTATCAACCATTTTGAAACAAATGCATGATTGAAATTTGAAGACTAGATAAAATAGAGAATTTAATGAAAGGGGTCTGTCTAGCTTTTTCTGAGAGGTATTTATTTTGTGAAAATTTAGACATAATTTGTGAAAAATTTAAAATATTAAAAAATCAACATAAAAATACGGATTTATTCGTTTCTTACGAAACACAAAAATAAAATTTTAAAACAAGTTTTTTTTCCTGAAGTTGAATTTGTGAAGGTACCCTAAGCATTAGCAAATTTGGGCTTGGACAGACTCTTTATTTATTAAATTAAAGTTTCAATTAGCAAACCATAATTTTAATTTAAAATTGTGCTTTTTTTTCTCTTGATTTTTAATCTGACAAAATAAATGCAAGAGATTGTGTTTATAAATGTAGTAATTTATCAAAAAATAAATAAATATTTAATCTATATATTTTTATATTAAAATATTCATTTTTAATTCTATATCATAATAGATCAGCTAAAAAAATTTTTAAAAAAATCCATGCACTCATTGGAATTTTTTTTCACAAAATTTCTTTATAGAAAATCTGATAATGTCAAAGATTCTGTAAACATATTATGAGAAAAAAGCACAAGTTACCAGTTAATAACTCTACTGCCTCAAATAAACTTTGAAAGGGAAGAATGACTACATATCAGGAAAAAATATCTGAAGTCATTAGCCTTTTTTTTCTATTTTTGGCATATTAGGGTAATTTCTTTTTGATATAACCTCAAGCTTTAAAAATATACATTTTCCACCAATAAAATATAATGTAGATTTTTAATTCCATGCTATTTCAATCAAAAAGTAGAATTTTAATTAAGATTATTTGTAATTTTTTTTCTCGAATTTCATGTCTATTAATTACTTTCTATAGCTATGCAAGTCTATATTAAGACAGCATTAAATGTGTACTTTCAATCTCAAGAATCGAAAGATTTTTTAAAATGTAATTTCAAGTATGTTGGAATTTAAAACAACACTAAGGAAGAAAGTAATCTCGTTAACTAAAATTAATTAACGCAGCAATTTATTTAAAATAAATTTTAAAACTAAGAAAAGAAAACACTAAAAGTATCAATAATTTAAAACACTGTTTTTTAACTTTTAAAATCAATATATATATTTGAAAAAATCATTTGATTTAAATCAACAAACCCTGCTTTAAACAGCCACTTGGGATTGAATCCCGTTTTTCACAATGACAACTCAGCGTCTAAACGACTGAGCAATCACTGTTCAATTTTATAATTAATGTGATTAATTTTTATTTTCCTGGGATGGCGCAATTCCAGGTTTTATGTATGATACTTCCGGATCAGGTAAAGCATATGATTTTTCTAGAAATATTGCACAATTCCACATTTCTGGAAAGCATTGGTCCTCTTACTTTCAGTAATCAAAAACTATTACGATGAAATTTTCACGGGATTCAGCAATCTGAAACTCAAATTTTGAATATTTCGCTAATCCTGTTAGCAAGATTCTACATACTCATGCAGGGTGCGTAGCATTTGTAAAAAGTACTTAAAGGTGCTTTTTTTGGGATTTCATTTTTAAAAGCTTTTAAAGGTGCTTTTTTCAGCTGGCGTTTTTAAAAAGTGCTTTTTTTTCGAATAACTTTTTTTCTCCCTTCAGTGATATCTGGTGAATCCCATGCATTTCACGAAAAATGGGGAGTTTGCTACGTAATCATTCCCACGTTATGACTTGCGCATGCGCGCACAGTTGAAACCGAAACCCGAGTGCTCAAATTCGGATAGAGAATATCAGATCCTTATGAAATGTTTTTCTTTTTAATTTATTTTAATTTTGTTCTTGCTTATTTTATTTTACTTCTAACACTTTTTTTGACGTAGGGGGTATTGATACTTTTGTTCTGAGTTCAGGGTCAAGTTGAATTCAATCGGTGATGTGGGAAAGTACTGATTGTTTCGATTTACTCCCGTTTCTTTTCCTTTTTTTTAACGCTAAAACTGTTTATAAAAAGTTTTTGTTTTTCATTCACATCATTGATTGAATATGAATTTTTTGAGTGCTTAAAAATTTTTGTAAAGTGCTTGAAAAGTTTTTAAAAAGTGCTTATTTTTTATTCAAAGATTTGGCTACGCACCCTGTCATGATTCTTCCGATAATCGGTAGAAATCCATTCAGATTCTTCTAGTTTGGCAGATTTTCGCCGTTTAGAATATTTGAAACTGTGCTGAAATCCGCTAATATTTTTATTCACACGATTTGAATGTCAAACATTGATTTTCATATTTACCTAATTTAAAAGTCACGTTGTGTTTCATATTCATGTGATTTAAAAATACAACGTTGCTATTCGTATTTAGAAGTTTTTAAAATCCAGCTATGAGATTCGTATTCACTCAAATTTCAAATCTAGTGTCACAACTCATATTTGTTGGCAACTAGTATGTCAATCCCATCCCCAATGTTAGGTAATTCCCAATTAGTTAATGCTAAGTAATTTTCCTATTAAGAATATTTTAATTCAATAGAATATTGAATTTAGTTCAACAACTTACGTTGCGAATGTTTGTTTTCGTTTAACTGTCATGGATATAGAGTGACATAACTCTAGACGTAGTCGTGATGCCGGATGGCAGTCATTCAACTTATAGCCTATCAGTGATCGACAATTGTCCAGAGCTTCGAGGAGGTTCGCTGCTCAGTTTATAAGAAAGTGTTACTAAAGCAATCTTCTCTTTTTCCCTTTTTACATTGGCTATTGGCGACATAAAGTACCTACCTACCAATTTTAGTTTTTTTTAATAATAGAATCCAATAAAAAATTTCATTTAGAATAAAATAGTATGAAAGTAAATTGCTTATTTTTCTCTAACTTCTATTTTAGTTTCACAGTCATCAAATATTTCATGTGTTAGTTATTGCTGCAGCATTTGTGCATTATCATGGCATTTCAGAGATGGCTATTTACCGATTATCTATGGGAACCTGTTCTGCTGAAGAGCCACCTATTGATTTTGAATACTAAATCACCCAAGTCATTTGCCTTATTTCTATGTAAACTATTTGTAAAACAATTTCATACACGAAGATGCAGAGGGCTAGAATATTTTTTTAGCATGCAATAAAATTTACATATATTCTTTATAGCCTCTGATTTATGAAGATTCTGTGATAGCCATTTTTTTCATTAAGAGAATCTGTAGTACCTAAGAAAAATTAAAATAATTTGATTGGGGCATGGCTAACTAGTTAGAAGGAAGGCTGAAGAATGACTAGATTTTCTCTGTGTGCTGTCCTCATCTGTCTATTCATTCAATAACGCGGGAACATAGTAGCAGCGTATGCAGAAATTTGGGGGGGGTCTGCATTCAGCAAAACACACACTTATATGAATGTGCATAAATATTACACTATTTTGGACTAAGTGTAATATTTTAACTTCCACATTAAAATTTTCTCAGTAGACCAGTGTACAATGTATTAGTTAAGAATTATCAGTTAGTTAAAATGTACTTGTAAAAACTTAGCTATAACAATGAAAAATTAAAATATATATATATATAAGATTGTATTAAAAATAACAGCTGATCACTGCAAAAATAAGAAGTAACTACACATTTTTACTGGTGTCCTATGGTGGATTCTGTTTTCTTAAATGTTGAGGGTCTCTGACCCTCCTTCAGGCTGCTACGCCCATGCATTATTTAAAATTTTAACAGAAATATTTTCTAGATTAAAAAATTATTGAAAGATTTTAAGTTTGGAGTAATTCAGTTTTCATAAATTTTATTTTAAGAAGTACCTATGTTTATGGTCTAATAATTTCATTCGAGGTGTTACGTGTATTAGCTTTTTTTTTTTAAACCTATTTTTCCCTTTTGCTCTATTTCTACGATATATGTAATAGTTCTAAAAATATTAGTTCCATGGTCATTTTTTTTTTAATATTTATTCTGTTTATTAGTTGGCCATGGTTTGGGTGCTGTATATCTGGTATGACACTTTTTCCAAGATTGAAAAAATTCTTTATTGATATCTATAATGAAATTTATTTAGAAGTGTTCTTTTTTTTTCTTTTGATTTTTCTACTGGCAATTGATAATAATTTTATTTTTTAAAAGCAATTTGCTAATTTCTTGTGCACAATTTCATGAAACATATTTGTTAATGTTGCATTTTTATCTTTTTTAACTGTTTGTGTGTATGTGAAATTCACTTAGAAAAGTCTGTGGAAAATTTATTTTAAAAATGAAAGATAAATCATGAAAGAACTATCTAATATTTTAACTTTCAGGTCAGAAAGTAGATGTATATTTGTTTGTCCGAATTATTTTAAACTGCTCTCCTTTGAATATTTCTAATTTAAAAGTAATTTTTTTTTTTAAGAAGAGCTAGTGAAAAAAATTTGCAATCTTTTTTAACTTTCTTTTACTGCTCCATTTTAATATTTTATTTGTAACATTAAAACAAAATTAATAGTGAACTTTTAATTATAACCTTTTAATTAATGAACATCGAGAGAAAATTGAAAAATGTATTCTCATATAAAAAAATACTCATATTTTCATAGAAATCATCTTTTAAAACTGGTTTTTGTGTTTATCATGTTTTTCCTTGATCTGTTAAAGGGTTATTTTTAGCTTTATCACTTTACACCCTATGACAATTACTTCACTTTAAATGCCAATGTTCATATTGAACAATATCATTCATGTCTAACAGTTTTAATCATAAATCACTTTTTGAACTCTTAATCAGATCTTAATTTATCTACATAACTCTCTTATAATCACACTAAATCTTTGCTTTTGATAATTTGGTTAGAAATAACTGAGCTTGTGATAAATGCCTTTGGGATATTTTGTTTTTAAGTTAAGCATAATTTTTCCTAGAGGCACAATCCAAATTTGTTCGTTTAACTTAATGTTTTAGGTTGGTGAAAAATGCCATTTTCAAGTTAAAAATAATGCATCAGAACATGCAGTTTACATTGTGTTGAAAACGTAATTTCTATCTAAATTACTTTAGGAAAGTACATCACTATTGGAAATTCCTATTTGATTAAAAATTTGATATTAATTTTTCAGGATTTATTGAAACTAACAGTACAACTAAAATGTGCAAATAATGTATAAAATGTCCAATCAAAATAATGGTTTGATAATATATTTATAATGAAACTTTAAATACAGTTTTCTATAAAATAAAAAAAAGCTTTTAATAGACTTTTCGAATAAATACTTATATATTTTGAAATTTAATTCATTTGTATTAATTTTTAATAAAATCTGGGAAAGGCTTTGTACTCATTTAGAATTTTCACCAACTCTACAAAATTGTATCTATCTTTTGAGTTCTCTTTGAAGGAAAAAATCTTTATTCTGTGTCATCTCTCTAAATAACTTTTCTAACTTATGGATACTACCTAAGTAGGCTTTTTGAAAGACTCAGCTATGCCAATTTTATCACTACGGACAACTAAGGAAGGGATGGAATGTTAAAACATGAAAGTTCTCCATATTTTTTGGATGAAAACTTGATTTTCAACATTTTGTCAATTCATACTCTAGTATTAAGCCACAATTGTATATATTTGTCTATTCGCTAACATATTTAGATTTTCAATTTTATTTATTTACAATGTATCATTTCCTCCCATTTAAATCAGTTTACATTTGTTAAATGCACTGCTCATTTATAAATTACCATTATAAATTATTTATAAATTTCCATTACTCTTAATTTTAAATTACTCAACTTTAAATTTTAATCAATCACAATTAAGAGCTTGTTAAACAATTTTGAAAGTACTCTTTATAAGTAGATGTATGATAATGTAAATTGCTGTATGTTTATGAACTTAGAAAACATTTTAAAAATAAATTCAAACCTTCATTATCTGAATCTATTATATTTTTGTAAAATTTCAGTTTAAACTTTGTAATTAGGCTGGGATGCAGTGTGTATTTAGTGATTATTATACAGTCCAACCTCATTAATGTGGATCTCTCAACATAAACTAATTTTAAATACTTATTATTATAAAAACTTTTAACATAAAATATGTTTAAGGGTAAACTCTAATTTCATTACCATTTTTTTAAAATATAATTTTATTATTTATCTTTGCAACTTAAAAGCTTAAGAAAACAAAGAAGATAGTAAAGCTTTAACTATAATATTTTTTTCAATTATAGTGATAATTTTTATTATTTTTATTTCTTATGGAAATATAAAAATTATAAATGAAAATTAAACAGGCATAAAATAAATATTACTCTGCATATTTACTATAAGAATTTGTTTTGAGAAACCATGCTTTATGCATAGTTAATACGAAATGTCTTTGTATTATGTCATTTTTGTTAAAATAAATTTCTTAACTGATAAAGTGAACAAATTTGCTGTGCACTTTTGGGTTCATATTAACAAGGTTTGATGGTATAAATGAATTATAATGGATATTTTTTGTTATACCTTGTGTTATTTTCTTTAAAAAGTAATTTATTTTCTTTTTATTTATCCTACTTGTAACAATTATGATGGTTTAAATTATCTAATATGTATGGTGAATAACTGTCTGATGTTTAGTATTGCTGGAATATCCACTGTTATTGAAGTAGAATTTTTATATAGCATCTTATATGGGGCTGTTAAATAAAAGTGTTGAATATTTAATGTGTTGGCTTATTTTTCTTGGTATAATGAAAGAAGATTATGACGTTTTTGTAAGAAAAAGCTTGATATCTGAGTAAAAGATTTTATTTTGTGAGTCCTAAAACCTTGACTTTGATTAATTTTGGTTGTCAGAAGTAGCATGCTACAAATAAACTCATATTTGTGAAAATTGCAACACCATGAAGGACTTACGCGAGTGGGCTGAAATTTTCAGGAAATGCAAAGTAGAGCATAATATGCAAATGATTAGAATTTCAGACCCGTAGCGTATGCGTATGCTGAGCAGCGCCCTCTGAACGGCGGATGGATCCGAATAAATAGACAGCTGTAGCGAGGCGTTTATGGTTATCGGTGGTTATCTGCTAGTGATAAACGATACCTCAGACGTTACTTATGCCTCTTCGACTAAAGAGAGCGAGATTTCAACAACTTACGGAGTTCAACAATTCGGATAGAGAAAATCAGATCCTTATCAAATGTTTTTCTTTTTAATTTTGTTCTTGTTTATTTTATTTTACTTTTAACACTTTTTTTGACGTAGGGGGTAAGGGTATTTTTGTTCAGGGTCAAGTTGAATTCACTCGGTGATGTGGGAAAGTACTGATTGTTNTCCAAGAAAACAAATATTATTATCATTTCAAAAAAAGACTTTCTGATATTTTTCACTAGAGTTACATTATTTTTAATTTAACTTTTGTAACTTAGTGATAATAGTGCTTGAAAAGTTTTTAAAAAGTGCTTATTTTTGATTCAAAGATTTGGCTACGCACCCTGAATACTTTTTGAGTTATTAGTGCTGTTGTGCAATATATTAAATTACTAATTTTCAGTGACTGAATCCTGTCTGAAGATCAAATGTGCATTGCTAATGCTAAAAAATAAGAAAACTAAATTACATGCGTGGAAAATGTGGTTATTTTAAAACAGACAAATAGTCTTTGATTTATAAATCACAGTTGAGCTTAAAATAATTATCATGCCTTACATTAATATTCACTTCTTATATTCCATCTACAGTGCTCACACTTATTCCTATTCACCTAGGTGAATAATTAATTTAAAAATCAAGTGTAGAATAGCTATTTTACACTTGATTTTTAAATTAATTACTGAGCAAATCCTAATTATATATATAATATTTGGAAACAGATTAAAAATATTTTTGAGTGCTTATTTTTTGTTGAAAAATTGTACTACAATTAGCGAAATAAAATCTGAAGTGCAAAACATTATAAAATAATTAACACAAATTTACCTATATCCTACAATACTCAGTGAAAATTTGTTCTTGAATAACGTATCAAAATTATCGATCGGTGCTCTGCCGCATCTTTAAATGCTTATTAATATTTGTTGTATGAATAACATGATGAAAATATTCATCGACCTCCTACTGTATCCGTAAACGCCGTGGAATATGGTTTTTTCAAACTCGACATTCTACGGCGTTATGGAGATATCGATCTATATCAAATTTCACAATGTCGTACAATATAAAAAAATCTGACGTTTTTACATAGATTGATGTTTCGGAACAACATCGATCGAAGTCGTAAGCGAAGTTTTTTCGAGATCATTCGATATTGAGTGCTACTTGGGTAGTTTGGTCGAGAGGTCCAAAATTTTAACTTCTTAAAGTTAATTTTACTTTTTGTTATTTCGTCATAGCTCAATAACCAAATTGATAAATTTTTGCTCACAATTAAGAAAATCATTTTTACGAAAATAATTCCTTGCAAAATGAAAAACCTTTTAGTTAGTATTATATATTTTTTTTTATTTACTAATAGTCGAAAAACTTTTAAATTGTAAGGTACACAATTATTTATATTATTTCAAAAAAACATAATTTTACACCTCAAAATACAACATTTGAGCGAAATCAGTTGAATGGCTCATGAGAAATCGAATTGTTAAAATTTTATTTCTCAGGAACTGTTTGACTGATTTTGTTCAAATTTTGTATTTTGTCGTGTAAAATTACATTCTTTAAAATGATGTAAGAATTGCATATCTTACATTTGAAACTTTTCACTATAATTAAACTAATAATTGCTTATTTTGGCATGGAATTATCTTGGAATAAGCAAATTTTATAACTGCAAAAATTATGAACTTCACTTAAAAAGTTTTTGCTGTATGTCGAAATACACAAAAAGTAAAATTAACATAACCACTTTTGTAAGCTCTCTTGATCGAACAATGCTTATAATGAGTTTGGAAAAATGTAAATATTGGTGCATAATGTTAAAGGAAACAAAATACCTTAATTTAAAGCTACCTAATATTTGTAAATCAAATATATACTAAGACTGCTCCAGTTGTCTTAAATTTAAAGCTAAATTAAAGTTTACTGAACTGTGGCTAACTTGTATTAACATGGATTATGAAATTATTTATGAAAGTTAAAACAAAAATTTCAATCTGTGAAAGATATAAATTCAAAGTTTTTGCAGACCTAGTTTTTCTTTACTTTTTGTTATTTATTGTTATATAGATAATTCATCTCTAATTTTAATTTATATTAAAATTTTAAGTGAGCCCTATATTATGAGGGTCAGAAATATGATTACGCCGAAAAAAGGTCTGTTTACTCATAGAAAGTACGTTTTTGTGTCCGATTTCGTAACTTAAAAATATAGTCTTCTCTTATTGAATCATTAAGATTGAGTTCTGGAGCAGTCCGTTTATTTTTTTATACGCACTGTACAATTCTATTTCAATGAATGATAATATAAAAATTAAATTTTTCACTATTTCCAGGTATATTTTTAAACAATTAAGGAAACATTTTGATGTATTTGTTTTTTAAACTTTTTATTACTAAATTTTTCTAATATTTACTTTTTCAAGTAAATATTAGAAAATTGCTCTTATACATAGGAATAGAATTTAATCTTAATTTTCACACTTATAGTTTTGATTGAAAAATAATACACAATCTAATACAATCCTAGTTTTTATAAAATATATTTTTAATAAATATGTAATAAATAAAGTTCGTTTAAGCTTGTAATTATTGATGTAATTGCTTTACCCACAACTTAAAGTTCTTACAGATTTAGTTAGTTTTTAACTATTACACTGAAGATGAGTGTAACAGTGTAATTCCTTGATATGAGATTCTCTTTAAGTCTAAAAGAATTGAAATTTCACTATCCACAATAATATGCCACTTTTTTTATGCCTTTAGTGCAATCTTTTCTTCCACTAGATTTTCAAAAGTTATTTGATAATCAAATAAAATAAGTTTAGAACATATTCTGTTGAATTATATCGAAAATTCGTATGCTGGATTTAAAATTCATCAGCAATGAAAGATAGGATATTTTGTATGAAGTGGAACTTAATGGTTAAAAATATTAAACATAAGTATTCTATCAAATGATACCTAAAAATTTATACTTGGGGGAACAAATCAGAATATAAATTTAGAGTTCCAAGCACGCTGGAAGTTGTTAAATACTATGTCAGAGGTGATAGTGCTCCGGAAAAATTCAGGATTTTTTGCTAACTACGATCCGGAAGTTTCCGGAAATCCAAGGTCTAGAAGTTTCAAGAAATCATCGATCACATTTATGTATAAAAATTCTAGTATATTTTGTTTAAAAATAACAGAACTAGAATTTATTCTTAGCATCTCTTTCATTTGTAATTTTTTTTCTAGTAGTATAATAAATGTGATCAGAGATAAAAGTGAACTTATAAGTAGTTATTCATTCAAATTATGCTACATATAATATTACATTAGTATTTAGGCACGTAATAATTTGCTGCAATTTACACTAAAATGAAATTGCTTTTCGAAAATTATTTGAAATTTAAAAGTACGAAACTATTTAAATTATTCAAAAATTTAGTATAATAAATTCAGCAATAAATAATTTTAAAAAATTCAATATTTCGAGAATGTGGGAGAAAATAAAAATAATCTGTTTATTAAAGGTAAACTTTTGGTTTGGTTGTGTTCAAACATCAAAGAGAACGCAAACTATTCACATCTATTCGAACAGAAATACTCTAGCACAGTGAGTGATTTACGATGACAGCTTATACGCCTCTCAATTTGTGAGCAGTAGGAGGTAGAGGGGGAAGGAAATATTCTGCTTGAGAAAAACTCTGGTTCGCCGCTCAAGGGGCAGAACTTGAACCCGAAAATGCTCGGGCAAGCCACTTTTAGTATAGAAATCATGCCAGAGATATGCCGGGCTTGACGCCAGGAGGGTTGAGTCAATACCTCCTAGAGAGGAATCAAGCCCCACAACGGGTTACTATAGGCGATGATGACGTAGTAGAGTTAGGCCCAGAGGAAAACCAGTCAGGGTAGCTATTTTTACGAAAAACTCCGAATCTGATCAAACGAGCTATTGGCAATATTCTGAAGTATTGTAACCTGTGTACGCATTCAGCCAATTGGCGAATATTTTTGATTTGAATTTGTAAACAACCGTCGGTGTTCTGATGTGAACGTTCTTCGTAAACTTTATATTTATTCTACAAATGTTATAAATTTCAGCATTAATTTAATTCTTAGTGTTATGAATAATGGTATATAAGTGCTGTGTACCAAACTGCAGAGGAAATTACAAAGTTGAGGGTACAAAAGTATCAGTTTTTGGATTTCCAAAAAATGAACTATGTAAGAAATGGCTTGCTGCCATACTAAGAGATTTTGAAGTTACAAGGAATTCTAAAGTGAGTAATATTTGTTTTTATTTTTAAAAATTTAATTATGATTCTTTATTCTATTTTTACATAGAGTAAATTATTTTAAATTGTGGATAAATTAATTACAATAATTAAGTTGTTCTTATCAATCGTATCGCAAACTATTGTAATAAATTTTGTGTATAATGACACAATAACTATATAGCTCATTTTATATATATAGTTATTTTTATAGAGTTTTATTTTATAAAAAATATTAATAATTTTAGTATTTTATAAAATGTTTACTCAAACTTTAAACATTTTTGTTTGACCGTAATATATTGTAACTG